GTGTGTCTATGTGTGTGTGTGTGTGTGTGTGTGTGTGTGTGTGTGTGTGTGCCCGTGTGTGTGTGTTCATGTGTGTGTGTGGGCAGGCCCGGGCTGAGCGGGGTCTGTGAGTGTCTTTTTTTCTCGTTTTTATGTTTTTTGTTTTTTTTAACATATACGAACTTTGAAAAAATAAAAACAAAATTATGAGGTCGTAGATCTCCAAAATATCTACAAGACTGTATTTTTTATTATTTTGTTTGTTAATTTTTTGCCTGCAAAAAAATCTCTGTGGAGAAAAAGAAAAACCCACCTAGGCTACCAGGGGTCTGGTCCCACCTACGGCCGTTGAGTTGAGAAACCTCAACGGTGTGACACCATTTACCACATTTTTTTAATCCGAAAAATGCATTTCAGATTTATTCGTAGCAGTTTTTATTCATTTTAAGAAAATGATGCAAAAATAGTGGTTTCTGTCGAGGACTCTGCGTATCTTGAAGTACCATATGGGCCTCGCTGCACTACTCTCGAAATGTGCAAAACGAGAGTGAATCTTCCCCTAGAATATGGAAAGATGCACTGCCATGATTTTTGTCTTTTGTGCATGTCGAGAGTAGTGCAGCGAGGCCCCATGATGTGGAAACACGAGGACGTCGAAGTGGGTCCAAAGAGCAATGAATATAGGCAAGAACACGGAAACATACATCGACTTTCTTTTTTCTTTTGTTTGTGCATGTGGTGAGCAACGGAGTGAGGCCTTATAGAGCCCACGCACGACAGTTACGGCTTTCATTGCACTGACGAAGTGCCTAACACAGTATACGAGAAACGGGGAACGGGCAGACGGCGACTAAAAATCCCAAAAATCGCAAAAATTATCATCGACCATGTTGAGAAACCTACCCTCGACCGTGGAGGGTAGCTTTCTCAACTCCGTGGCGCTTGCCCATGCCGCCTTCCCTCCATTGCGGGAGTCCATTCGAAGTCCTTATACAAAAAAAAAATTCATTCAGATCACCTGGTAGGACATCAACATTTCGAAATACTTCCAACCGTGGGATCGCAGCCCTGTCGACGGCCACATCCTGTCGAACATTGTCGCTCGTTGTAGAAAACTCCGCGTTGAGTTTTCTCAACAACAAAGGTGGGACCAGACCCCAGAGTGGCCCGGGGTCACTTGCCCGGTCGGACCAAAAACAATTAAAAAAATAAAAAAATAAAAAATATTTTTAAAATTTATTTGTTTTTCTAAATTTGGTGCAGAATTTCGATGCGACCCTGAGGCAAAAGTTATTCAGTTTATTTTTCTGCATAACATAGTGTTTTTCTGGATTTTTTTTATTTTTGTTTTTTTTGGCTGGGACCTTCCCTGGCCCTTGCACGGGCTGGCCACCGGGACCCGGGCGGCCCGGCTGGTAGCCTAGAAACCCACCCATTTCATGTTTTTGTTTTTTTTTCTTTCGTTTATGTTTTTGATTTTTTAAAAATACAGAAAGAATTCAAAAAATAAAATAAAAAATGCAAGGTCCTGTATTTGTTGTTTTTTTGTTTGCTTGTTTTTTTTTCTGGGGAAAAAAATACTCCCAAGCCCACTGAAACCCCGCTCAAGCGCTTTGAGCATGGGATTGAGCGGAGCTCAAAAATTTGAGCTCCAACCCCGCCCTCAATCAGCGCGCGGTTTCACAGTAGCTAGAAAAAGAGAGAGAGAGAGAGAGAGAGAGAGAGAGAGAGAGAGAGAGAGAGAGAGAGAGAGAGAGAGAGA